CTTCCTTCCTTCCTTCCTTCCTTCCTTCCTTCCTTCCTTCCTTCCTTCCTTTCTTTCTTCCTTTCTTTCTTCTTCCCTTCTTTCTTTTTTTCCCTATAAGAAGAACCGTATAACACACCATTAAGCAGACACATGGTGTTGTATTGGTCATATCAGTCACATGATCTTGCCCATCTAAGGATTGCTAAGTTGCTGGCTATTGAAACCAGGCTATATATGTTTGGCTAAAGTCATCCTAAGCAATTAACTTATTTCTTTGTTTTTTAGGTAATGAACCAAAAAGATCATGTCTGAAGTACAAGGAACAGTTGAGTTTTCTGTGGAGCTACATAAATTTTATAATGTGGATCTCTTTCAGAGAGGGTGAGTATAATTCACGTTCTGAGTAAGTGTGTGTGTGTGTGTGTGTGCATGTGTTTGTGTGTGGTCAGTTAATAAGAAATTTGGATTAATGAAGAATTTTCATTATTTTCCTACGCAATGGAAAGTTCAAACTATTAGTTCATCTGATAGTAAATTAGGCATTGACTAAGAGCTAATTTAGTTCATCACTTTCACATCTTTTTCTGTATTTCCTTTTCTCTGTTGGTCTTTTCACTGAATTTTAAAGGAAATGAGTGTGGGGATGTAAGGTTTATGCACATGTTCTCTGCATTGAAGGGTTAATAGAATTTTCACTTCTAGCAGACTAACAGTAAAAAGATCCAGGAGAGCAGGTCGGCTAGTCCTAGGGCTTTGTGCTCCAAGAACAAGAACTTGGCTAACCACAAAGTAGATGATGTAAGTGATATGGTTGAATAAGATTGAGCCTTGAGAAAAAAACCTATTCTTCCCCATGATTGTCCCTCAAACCCTGTCATATGCTGAGTAATGGGCTGACACTTTCTCCATGATTGTTCCCTGAACCCTGGCACTTTCCACAGTTACCTCTCCCCACTCCCCATGGTTTGTGGTTTTCTCCTTTAAATATCCTACACTCCCCTCACTAGGGGTCCAGCTCCTCTGCCCCTGTGTGGGTTATGGGGTCTCGGCCTCAGTGCACTGATTGAAATATGCCTCTTGCTGGTTACATAAAGATCGATGACTCTGAGTCTTTTGGGTGGCCCTGAATTCTCATGGCTTGAGTGGGGTTCTCCCCTCCCCAGGGGCCTTTCAACATCAGCCTTTGCCTTCAGGTTCCAGCCATGTCTGAGGTCCTGCCCTGATTTCCTTTTATGATGAATTGTGATGTGGAAGAGTAAGCCAAATAAACCCTTTCCTCTGCAAGTTGTTTTTGGTCATGGCGTTTTACCATAGCAATAGCAACCCTAAGATAATGCTGTTCTCTCTTTCCATACCATCCTTATTTTTACTCTCATAAAAAAGAAACAACATGTTGTATTTATCTTTATATGATAATTTAAACAGATATATTACATGCATATACACAAACATATATATCTAATATGATCATGTAATATATATGGTATATATATATATATATATATATATATATATATACACACACACATCTATCTATCTATCTATCTATCTATCTATCTATCTATCTATCTAAAATGTGTAGATTATATTCATTAATTTCTTGATGGACATTGAGATTGGTAACAGCCATACTACTATCAGCGACATACTGATGATTTTTCCTTTGTGTACACATACACACACACACACACACACACACACACACACACACAAACACACACACTCAGAACAGGCTTGCAAGATAATTCTATCTATTTTTTGTAAACTCTAATCAGCTTTTCATAATTGTTGGACTATTTTATAATACTGTCTACATGTGTGAAAGTCCCCTTTGTGCGAATCCTTGCCAACATTTATTTGTTGCTTTGATAATAGCTTTTCTAATTAAGGCTAGATGAGAGTTCCTTGTAGTCTTAATTATCATTTACTTACTAATTAGTAATATTAGACTGGTTTGTTTTTCAAACATTTGCTGGTCATTTGGGTATCTTTCTATGAGAAAGATGTAATTAGTTCATTCGACTAAACCTCTTGGTGTCCATTCTTGACATTACATAGCCTATTTTTAATGATTCTGCTGGGTGAAGAAATTATAAGACCATAGTCTCAGGGCAGAGACATAGATAGAAGCTGTCTTTGGCTAGAAGAACCTATGTACAGTTTTAACCAGTGAAGCAACACTCCAGTTTTAGAAGCATACATCTGAAATTAATGCTTTTTTGAATATCATGATGCCCCTTTTTTACAATGATCTCTGTATTATATTTACATTATTTACACCCTAATTTTTACTTTCTTCTATAGTTCCAAACTCCGCAAATTATTGAACTTTGAAATATATACATATATATATACATATATATATATATATATATTAAAGAAGGAGCATATATATATATAGTGTATGTGTATGTGTGTGTATGTGCATGTGTGTGTGTATGTATGTGTGTGTGTGTGTATGTTTAGGGTTCACTACGTGGAATTGGCTAATCAGGGGTTTCATCCTTGGGGAAGGCTTAATTTCCCTCTCAGCATTCATTATTGCCTGTTACTCTTCATCTAGGTGTGCAGCCTTGTGATATTTCCCCGACCCATGTTAGCATGTCAGTTTGTGTTGTCATTGTGCTTGTCATGTTTAGGTGACTACATAGTTAATATTTCATGGACACAAATTTCTTATCATATAGGGGAGATACTATCTCATAGCAAACATTGTTGTTCTCTGGCTTTTCCAATTTTTCCACCTCGTGTTCATCAATGTTTCTTGAACCTTCGGTGTAGAGATTCTATTGTAGATTTATCAACTAAGGTTGGTTGGACACCTCATGATCAGTTTTCTGGGTATCTTGACTAAATGTGGTTGTATTTAATGTTCATTGTATGCTGAAAGAGGAAGCATTCTTTGATTATGGTGAGAGCTACATTGGAATAATACTAAATACATAAGTATTTAGACTGCAGTTAGAAGTTATAATGATTTACGTAGTGGCAGAGGTAGGATTTTTTTTTAAAGGGGGCATGAATTCACCAACCATGATGGTTTTACAGTATAAGGTATACGTCTTGTATTGAATGGGCCTTAAATCCAATCATATAGCTACTGGTTACTTCCAAGATAAAAGTTTCGCTATTATACCATGTGGGGACATCTTGTCATGCTAGTCATTATTGAGAATTTTAGGATTTGCAGCTGGTTAGGCCCACTGATTGCTTATTTCCCTTCCAATACCTTCTTACTTACAGTGAACCATAGTAGGTCTGAACAGGCTCCATTCTTGATAATGATGTTGCATTCATAGTCAGATCTCCAAATTTCACATTTGTTAGAAAAGGTAGCCGTTTTGCTAATTTCATCCTGGCATTAGACACTTTTAGATTTGTTTCCAATCTCTAACAGTAAGTAGCACCTTGTGAACTTTTTAATATAGGCCACTTTAGAGCTGGGAGTATAAATATCACAGTCATAGCATAGCCAAGTAGATTGGGGAACATAAGACTCTCTCACTCACTATCCTGAATTCTTTATTATTAATTAAGCCTGTTGTCTAAGTGGTATACATTCTTTCCAAATTGCACAAGATAGATGATATTACATATTCAGTTTACAGTGATTTTAGTCAAGGGGTAAAATAAATCAAGGTACTCTAATAATTAAGATCTAGATTAACTCTGAAGCACTTGCCTTGTTCTTATGTTTAACAGTCCTGAGTCCTGTTCAGTAGCTCAGATGTCATTAACAAGAAGAGCTCCACAGAATAACAAGGCTCATGGCACATGACATTCCAGTTTATGGTTGGATACAGCCATAAATCTCATTTTACTTTTAACTACCTGAACTCTTACAGAACTCTAGAGTTATGAATGTAGGATGATACTGATAGTTGAATAATAGCACCACCAGGAAATGCCTAAACATTACTTACGTAACTCCTACTAAAAGTTAGTTGATGCACACAGTGGAATTTTAAATGACAGTTTAATCAGATCCATATATAAATAGGCTGAGTTGAGTTTATTTTAAACATTATTTGATATGTAGACCCATGAGGAATATTTATCACATAGCTCATCCTAACAGTAAATTTGGCTGGGGATATTGAGAGTTTTATATGAAGTAGTCAGTGTTAACAAAACCTTGTAGAACAACACATCCCAGGTATGAACAGATCTTTGTGAAGGTGTGAAAGGTGTTAAAAAGTCAATGTGAAAAATCATATCTTCTTGTTTGTCTGGAATGTTCCTTTTATATTTAAGTGTTTAACGGTAGCAAAAATGAAGCTAAATTAGAGTCAAGACCTGTAGGGCACATAACTTACATGACTAGTAAGAAAAAAGTATTATTAGAAGAAAACAATATCTATTTTAAATGATGGGTTATTGCAACCTCATTTTATATTTAAACATTCCTTTTCTACATGCTGGTTCATGATCTATATTGTGTAGTAATACATTTCATGCATTTATCTGTATCAATCTGTAATATCTATATATAATTATCAGAGTGACATACAGCCTGTGGTCCAGCTATTCCAACAATGGTTGTTTCTTGGTGAAAAGTTCAAGGATCCAGTAGTTGTTCAGTCCAACAGGCTGGATGTCTTAGCTGTTCTGCAGTATATGATGGAATCCTGAAGTAGTAGGCTCTAATACCAGGGAAGGGATGAACTGGTCAGTGAGAGTGAGGGCATTCAGGCAAAGAGCTTCTTTCTTCCATGCCCTTTAAATAGGCTGCCAGGTTTAGGGTGACTCTTCCTACCTCAAATGAACCAATCAAGAAAAATAAATCTCTCACAAGTGTTTCCAGAAACTTGGATTTTAGTTAATTTCAGGTGCAGTCAGGGTGACAACCATTACAAACACTGAGATTAATTAGGGTTGCTTGTATGAGTACTCATGAGGTGTATTTACTGGGAAGTGAGCAGTTAGCCAGTGTCTACACCACTGAAAAAAAGTAATTCCTTTCCTAGTACTGTCAATTCTCAGTGAGACATAGGGCCCTATGATCTCCAAGTCCCACATTCATGATTAAATGTTGATGTTATACAAATTCCTTGGAGATAACCATAACCCTATGATTTCATTTTATGTACAGAAGGTAAAGTGTGATACTATTTCTACCTATTCTTTGTATCTTAAACTTTTTCTGAATTTTCTTCAACAGTGTTGTCTCAGTCTTGGGTGGTATGATATAAATGTCTCATATAGGACTGGTCACTGAATAGTTACTTAATCTCAACTCTCACATGTCCTCAGTATCTTATTTAAGTAACAACAAGAGTAAGAGAAGATATTCTGAAGTGATGAATAAGTGGCTCCCAGAAGCCATACTTTCTTAAAAGAAAATCCCAACGCCAAGCGTGGGATACATCTCTGAGTTGTGG